TCTTAACTTCTTCACCATTTAGAAGTTCTGTAACTGCACAGTCTTTTCCCTCTTCTAGTTTGTAGTTGTCCTCGCTTGCCAGTTGGTGTCTCTTCTTTCCTGTTTACAATCTTGTAAGCTCATTTTACTTTGGATATGTCCATAGCTGGGGTTTCTGGGTTATCTTGTGTAATAATGTTCTATTGTTATTTGCTATTTTTGGTTCTCTGTTCACAAGGACTCCCTTTACCATGTCTTGCAAGATTGGTCTGATTTTAACAAATTCCCTTAGTTTCTGCTTACCTGGAAATCTCCTAGTTTCACCATCATATTTGAGGGACGGTTTTGCCGGGTGTATAATTCTTGATTGAAAATTTTTCTCTTTCAGGTTTTTATATGTACCATCCCATTGCCTACTCACTTGCATGGCTTCTGCTGAGAAATCAGAGCTTATTCTTACTGGCTGTCCTTTGTAGATAGCTTTTTGTTTTTTCCTGTGCTACTTTCAGAATTCTGTCTTTGTTTTTGATGAGTTTGATGATGATATGTCTTGATGATTTTCTTTTGGGGTCTGTCCTGTTTGGGGTTCATTGGACTTCCTGAACAGATATGTCCTCATCTTTCGTCATTTCAGGAAAGTTCTCCTCCAGCCAATCTTGGTCAATTTTCTCAGTGATTTTGTGTTTCTCTTCCTGTTCTGGAATTCCAGTGACTTGTAAGTTATTCCTTTTGATGGTATCCCACATGAACCTTAGGCTTTCTTCATTTTGTTTTGATTTTTTTTCTGATTGATCCTTTTCCAAAGAAGTATTCAGGTATTTGTCTTCAATCTCATTAATTCTGTTTTCCATTGCCTCAATTCTACTCCTTTGCCCTTCCAATGTGGCATCTATTTCTGACAATTTAGTATTAATCTTCTGGATTTCCATCTGTAGATTTAGAATCATTTGTAATTTTTCATTTATTTAGTCATTTTGTTCTTTTATTTCTTCCAAAATTCTTCTAAGATTTTTTCTGTGTTTTCTTTGGTCTTTCTCCCAATCCTTTGAAAATACCTAAATAAAATCGTTTTGAATTCCTTATCAGAGAAGTCCAATGCTGCTGCTTCTTCAAGGGTGCATTCTGGGTCTGTATCCTGCTTCCTTGTTTCTACCACTTTATCCTGCTTCTTAGTGTGGACTGTGATAGTCTGTTTTTTTTGAGACATCGTGGTGGTGTTGTGTTTAGATCTGTGTTAACTGTTTAAGAAGAGTAGCCAATTGTGATTCAGGTTCTTTTTGGTCGTTTTCTATTGTTGAGCTGTTCATGGAGAAGGAGGTAGTGGCTCTCACTCAGTAGGTGAAGTTTCTGGAGGTGTGGGTGTAGTTGTGTCTTATGGGGACTGTTGTTGTCTCTCACTCAGTTAGACACAAATTACAATTGAATAACCATAAGAAAACTAAAAGCCCCTGGAGATAAAACACACCATGTATTCACACAGGAAAAGTAACCAAAAAAATCAAAAAGGGAAAAACAGAAGAAAAAATAAGAAAACCTGCAATATCTCTTGATAGGGCATTAAGTAAAAAAAGTAGGGAAGGAGAATAATAAATGAAGGGAGAAAAAAAGAAACATGCAAAAAGAAAAACAAGGAACAGGGTTAATCACAAGAAAAAAAGGGGAAAAGAGAAAAACAAAACCGTTAAGTTAAAAAAAAAAAAAATTCAACTAGCCACAGGGAATAGAAAAAATGCTGAAAACTAGGAGCTGGTAGGGGAAGATTAAGAATAATAATAAAAAGGAAAAAAGTATTAATAATATTAGTTGTTTTTAAACAGACAAAACCAAGCAAGCTAATCACCAGAATAAAGAAAATAAAAAAGATAAAAATGTCCTCCTTATGGAGGACTGGACAGGGCACCCAGGCTCTGTTTGAGCACACAGACTGTGATGGAGTACCTGCAGACCTAGAAGATAGGTGGAAGTGGGGGATGGCCACAACTCCTTCACCAAGTGGGTGTGGCGTATAAGACTAACAAGAGGAATGTTGTATCTTTTCAGTCTTGTAGGTCCCGTGTGCCCTTGGGGTTGCTGGAAAGCAGAATGTGTTCCTAAGCCCCAGGAATCTGTGAGAATGCTGTCTCTTTAAATATCTAAAATAGTCAAGCCGCTTTTTAAACCTTCAAAATGGCGGCGCCCTCCGGACCTGCAAAAGTACACAGTTCAGCCCACCTTTCTCTTCACCTTCTGCATTTGTTCCCCAGCCACCATGCACAGTCCTCCATGCAGTCCCTAGATAGCAGCATGATTTTTAGGTTAATTCTTAGTTCCTACCACCACTCAGGAATCTCCAAGCTGTCTGTGCTATCAGGATCGCTCAGGATTGCTCCCAGACCACAGCTCTTTATATGTCCTTTTTTGTGTTTTCACGCAAATTCTTCTGCTAGTTGGGGTTTAGTCCACGTCTATATCCTTCCCCTCGAGGCTCAGGGGTCCATGATTATCTTCTGTGTCTGTGTAATTGGTTTCCCTTTTCTTTGTCTGTGTAGTCTTTCTGCCTAATCTGCCATCTTTCCAGAAATCTCTGTAATTGTGTCTTATTGGGACTGTTGTTGTCTCCCACTCAGTTACACACAAATTACAATTAAATACATTGCAGAGGGAGGAAGAATCAAATTTCTGATGATCTGAATTCAGGTGGAATTTTTTGCCATCTTCAAGACAATTTCAGAAAAGGCATTATTTATATTTATTGAATTCTTTCTTATAGTATCTATATGTAATGATACTTAATTGTGACCTTGCAGATATAAGAGTTACTTTATCATTTTCTTTTTAACATTTAAAAAAAAACGGAGAAAAGAATTAGAACTCAGATTTCTCTGTTTGCTTCTCCTGCATGGCCATACTTTTCCCCCAGGTAAAAAAAATAGGTACAGGATATTGCATGTAGTATTAATCTGTGTGACTCCTTTTGCTTTTATACGATCTATTATGTTTTACAAATGTGAATGAATGCCTGGATCTTGCTTAGGAACTCTGGTAACATAGTGCCTAAAACATTTGACTGCTAACCAGAAGGCTGATGGTTCAAACCCACCAGCCACTCCACTGAAGGAGGGTTGGGCAATCTACTTCCATAGTGATACTTCCTTGGAAACCCAAGGAGGGTTCACTATGAGTCAGATTTGACTCCATGGCAGTAAGTTTGGTTTTGGATCTTGCTTAAGGTATTATGTTTGTATATTTAAAACTCATTTACTTGTTTGGACTTTCTTTCAATAGCCAGAGCCCACAGAGGAGGACATTGAGAAGAATCCAGAGCTGAAGAAGCTGCAGATCTATGGAGCAGGCCCCAAGATGATGGGCCTGGGCCTCATGGTCAAAGACAAGACTCTGCGGAAAAAAGGTGAAGACTGATAGTTGAGAGTCAATGTGGGAATTGAAGTACTGATATAGAGAGAGATAGATTGTTACTCCTGATGCAGGATAGATATAAGATTTTTTTGATCAATTCCATAGATAAAGAAAGACTCACATGTCCCCCCACTGTTGTGGTGAAGGAGAAGTCAAATGGGGATGGAAAAGTGACACCAACATTGTGTAAGAAGGAATTTAGTTGCAACCCAGAGATCTGCACCAGGATGACTATGCGGCTGAGGAATAATAACAGCAGTGCCCAATTGGTAAGGGCTCTTCGTGATGTTGTAAAAGTCTGTTTATGCACAATCAGGACTAGAAGAAACCTAAAATTACTTTATTCTAATTGACTTTCTCTCTCCTGCCTTCAAATTACTCATTTGAGTTCTTTATGTATGAAGAGACTAGTGATCAGGAAGGGGAAGAAATCTATTCAAGGTATTAAGTCTGGAGCAAAACTCTTCTAACTTTTAGACCAGAACTTTCTTTCCCTATTACATTGTCTAATTTCAACTTCAACAATAATCATTGCCCCCAAAATTTGTGGCTGTACATGTAAAAGAGAATATAACCAAATACAAAATATAAGAACTATTTGTTTCTGGAAAATTTATCAGGATTCTTAAAAAACATCACATTTTTTATAGAAGTGCTCCTTTTTCTTTATGTATATTCATTATTTTTTCCCATATTTCCTACTTCTTAGCAAAGAGGTGTTTACAGTCTCTTAAATAACCTATCCTGGAGTTTGTTTTATCGATAAATTTCCTTTCTTTATTGTCTTCCTTCTTCTCCAGAGACAAGTTTTGCATTGTGTTTTTACTTTCAGATAAGTAGGATCAGAGAGTATATAACTTTGGTATTGATTCTTCTGCTCATTGTTACATTTGAGAGATTTGTTGTATGAGTTCTCATTTTTGCATTGTGTTTTATTAAGTGACTGTACTATAGTTTATTTCACCATATATGGATTTTGTGATGGTTTACAGTTTTTGGCTACTGGGAAAAATGCTATAGTGAACATTAAAGTAATATGCCCCTAGGGAACATATTTTGGTATTTTGTTGTGTACAGGATTGTAATCTCTGACTGAGAGTACATGTTTTTAATATTAGAATATAGTTAAAGTGTTATTAAAAGCGGAACTTGTTTACGTACAGATTAGTTAATACATGACAGTTACTATAACTCCACATTCATACTAACATTTACAATTTGCAGTGTTTGTTTTCATTTTGCACATTCTGGAAGGTGTATAGTTTTTTGTTGTACTTATAATTTACATTTCTCTGATTTTTGATAAGAAGTGGTCATGGCACCGTAGTGAAGGCATTAGGCTACTAATGTGAAGGTCGGAGATTTGAACCCACAAGCTGTTTGTAGGAGACATTTGAGGCAGTTTGCCTCCATATAGATCAAAGCTTTGGAAACTCTATGGGGCTTATCTTCTTCATCCTATAGGATCATTATCATTGTTAATTCAGCCCTGTTGTTGTTGGGTGCCATTGAGTCGGTTCCAGTTCATAGCAATCTCTGTGGGACAGTTCTACTCTGTGGTGGCTGTAGATTGGAATTGACTTCAGGACCCAAAACCACCACCACAATTGATTGCTCAGTTTATTCTGATGAGTTGATTCCAACTCCCAGAGACCCCCGTGGGTTTCGAAGGCTGTAAATCTTTACCCTGGTAGATTGCCTCATCTTGCTCCCATGGAGTAGCTAGTTGGTGAGTTTAAACCTACCACCCTTCTGGTTAGTAGCCAGATGCCTTAACTTCTATGCCACCAGAGCTTATGCATGTGCCTAGTCTGAGTTTTTCATGTGGGTATGATCATACAATATGTGTCCTATTATGCTGATTTAGTCCGCTCAAAAGAATGTTTCCTTGGTTTAGCCAAGTCATAGCATGGACCAGAGCTTCATGTCTGTTGATGGCTATGGAGTCAAATGTTCCATTCCATATAATTTGTTAATACAGCCCTGTTGTTGTTGGGTGCCATTGAGTCAGTTCCAACTCATAGTGACCCTGTGTATTACAGAATAAAACACTTCCTGGTGCTGTGCCAACCTCACAATCTTTGCTATACCTGAGCCCATTGTAGCCACTGTGTCAATCCATCTTGTTGAGGGCTTTCCCCTCTTTCATTTACCCTCCACATTACCAAGCATGATATCCATCTCCAGGGAATGGTTGTTGGTATGTGCCGTCGAGTAGTCTCTGACTCATAGCAACCCCTCCTTGGGTTTCTAAGGTAGTATCATTATGGAAGTAGATTGCCCAACCTTCCTTCCGTGGAGTGGCTGGTGGGTTTGAACTGCCAGCCTTCTGGTTAGCAGTCATGTGCCTTAAGCACTACACCATGAGGTGATTTAAAGTACAGGAGGATGTTCATCGATTATGTACTATACTATTTTATATAACAGATTTGAATGCTGTGTCTGGCAAAACTTCTCAGGTCATGAAACAAAGCGACACAAAAGGATTAGTGGTTTTTTAAAAGGAATGGGCCAGGCAGATGCTCCACATATTCTATGAGAGTGATCCCTGATGCCTTTGTTCTGCTTTATGTATAGGTTTATACATGATTACATCACTGTTCTTGGAATCCATACAATCAGCTTATTCTCTACAAAGTTAAAGTTTTACACTTGTACGTGGTCATGTATAACAGGTGGTCATTAAAACAGTCACAGAAGCTTCTGTCACAAAAGCTTTGTCAGGAAGAAGGAATGTAAAACAATAAATGTTTACTAGGGCATAGTGACCCAAAGTATGAAACGTCCCAGGAAGAGAAAAACATGGACTAATGGAATAACATGTACTTTTAATACTTGATGTTTTGCCAAGTAAGCATTTAACTGTGTAAGAGAAGAAGCATTTAACTGTGTAAGTAACAGAAGGTCTTGCCTTCTCTTGTTGCTGTGGGAGAGGCCTTGTCTTCTCTTGTCACTGTTGGACATGTGCCTTGCACTCATGTCTTTTGATGATTTCTCTCTTGGTCTCCAACACTTGAACATCCTGATTTTCTTTTGAGAAGGGAGTTGTCTTGCAGCCAATCCCATACAGATAACTGAGGATGACTGACTAAGAATCTATGTTGTTAGCCTTGCCTTAATGTTTCTGTTGTCATGACTGATTACTCGAGTAACTTTAATTTATTGTGTAAACTGAAGATCCTTTGAGAATAAGAAAAGGTATCTTTGTACTTTATTCTAGAATGAAACTCAAAAGCTCACTGCCATTGAGTCATTTTTGACTCATAGCAACCCCACATTGGGTTTCCAAGGCTGTAGATCTTTGCAGAAGTAGATTGTGCAGTTTTCCTTTTGAGGAGCAGGTGGTGGGTTTGAACTACTGACCTTCCAGTTAGCAGTCAAGTGCCTTATCGATTATGCCACCAAAGCTCCTCTGTTCTGGGATAGGAAGAGTATACCTGGATATTTGATTTCTTAACTTGTTATGGCTTGAACTCTGTTCTGGCTATTTTTGACTATTGTTTTATCAATAATCCATACTAGTTTATAACTTTGTGATTTGTGGCTATACTGTTACACTCTGTGTAGAAAATTTGCTTTGTTGCTCCCAAAACACCTTGGTATTAGGTGCCATTAAATTGGTTCTGACTCATAATGAACTCTTACACAGCAGAACGAAACACTGCCAGGTCCTGCATCATCCTTAATCCTTGCAATCCTTGATCCAGTTGTTGAAGCCACTGTGTCAGTGTCTTCATTGGGGTCTTAACATTTTTTGCTGACTCTCTACTTTATCAAACATGATGTGCTTCTCTGGGGACTGGTCCCTTCTGAAAATTTGACCAAAGTAGGTGAAACAAAGTCTGGCCATTCTCGCTTCTGAGAAGCATTCCAGCTACACCTCTTCCAGGACAGATTTGTTTATCTTCTGGCAGTCCATTGTATTTTCAGTATTCTTCATCAACACAAAATTCAAAGACATCAGCTCTTCATTGGTCTTTTTATTCATTGTTCAGCTTTCACTTGCATATGAGGTGATTGAAAATCCCAGGGCTTGGGTCAGGTATACTTTAGCCTTCAAACTGACATCTTTGCTTTTTAACATTTTAAAGAAGTCAATAAAACATAAGTAAACATCTCTTGGATATTCTTTGCTTTCAGTCAAGATTCATCTGACGTCAGCAATGTTATCCTTTATTTCACATCATCATCTGAATCCAGCTTGCACTTCTGAAGTTCCCTGTCATTGTGCTCCTGCAACCATTTGTGAATTATCTTCAGCAGAATTTTACTTGCATGTGATATAAATGATATTGTTTAATAATGTCTACCTTCTGTTGGATAATACTGTAATGTTCACAGTTGTCTGTCTCTTCCAGAATGTGGCATAAATGAGTAGGTGCCTCCAGTGCAGGATGTGTTCATTGAAACATCTCAGTGGGTATTCTGCCAATTCCTGGAGCCTTTTGGGGCAGGGAGGATTCCTTTATTACAGCTTGGTCTTCTTCCTTCTATACTGTTGGTTCTTGATCTTATACTGCTTCCTGAAATAGTTGAACATCAACCAGTTCTTTTTCTATACAGTGACTATTCTTTCCATCTTCTTTAGATGCTCTAGACATTTTGCCCATAGAACATTTCAGCATTGTAACTCAGGCTTGAGAAATGCTGAGTATTCTTTCCTTTTGGATTTCAATTCCCAGTATTTGGACATTTCATTATAATACTTTACTTTGTTTTTCTCGACCCACTCTTTGAAGTCTTTTGTTCACCTGTTCTTTCATCACTTCTTCCATTCCCTTTAGCTACTCTTCATTCAGTAGCAAGTTTCAGAGTCTGACAGCCATTTTGGTCTTTTCTTCCTTTTTGTGTCTTTTTAATGACCTTTTTTGCTTTCTTCATTTATGGTGTTTTTGATGTCATCCCACAATTCGTCTGGTCTTCAGCCCTTGGTGTTTAATGTGTCAGAGCTATTTTTCACATGGTCTTTTAGTCAGGCAGAATATGATCAATGTCATAGTTTGGCTATCTTACACTTGTTCTAATTTTCTTCAGCTTCAACTTGTACTTGTGTATGAGCTATTGATGCAGCACCTTACTTTCTGCTTTTAAGTCAGTCCCAACTCATAGTGACCCATTATTGGGTTTCTGAGGCAGTATCTTTATGGAAGTAGATTGCCCAGTCTTCCTTCCTAGGAATAGCTGGTGGGTTTAAACCAGCAGCCTTCTGGTTAGCAGTCAGGTGCCTTAGGCACTATGCCATTAGAGTTCCTTATTATTTTGTAGTTATTTGTGTCTTTTATTATTTTCCAGTAGTAAATGAATTCATGAGTAACACATCGCACATTAATTGGTTGGTGTAGGTGCTCAAAAATGAATGGTCTAGAAAATTGTGATACAGCATCACAGAATAAACAACTTAAATTTTTACTTTGTTTTTCTGGTAGATTGATGCACATGTTTGCCGAATGTGTTCCCGAGGGGATGAAGATGATAAACTTCTTCTCTGTGATGACTGTGATGACAGTTACCATATCTTTTGCCTATTACCACCCCTTCCTGAAGTCCTGAGAGGGGTGTGGAAGTGCCCAAAGTGTGTCATGGCGGTAAGGCCTGTCTAGCATAGATGTTTTAAAATTAGTTCTTGTTATTTCAATCTACACTTGGCTTTTAGGAAAACTAGGGTAGGTGATGATTCCCGTCTTTCTCTTAATATTTCCATTGGATTTTATTGCTCTAGATTAGGTTTGGAATGATAGAGACTTAAGAAACTTAGGGTGGCAGGGCCATGATCCAGAAATTGTGATCCATAGGAACAAAGACAAGGAAATACATTTACTAGATAGTAAAAATGTTCTGTGTGGATACATATGAAACGTAGGGGTACAGTATAGGATATTGACTGTAACCTGAAGAAACTTTATTCTTCCCATTCCTGCCTTGGATCTCCATTCATTCATGTGTCTTTCTTGGTTAAATTTCTATTTCAGGAGTGTAAGCGGCCCCCTGAAGCCTTTGGTTTTGAGCAGGCTACCCAAGAGTACACTTTGCAGAGCTTTGGTGAGATGGCTGACGCCTTCAAGGCTGACTACTTCAACATGCCTGTGCATGTATGTAGCCAAGGACTGGGGCTATGGAGATCAGATTCTGATGGTCATAGTCCTCCTAGGTACGTGAGGGTAAACCATGGTGAGCAGTGATCATCTTTTATACCTGTTTTCTCAGATGGTGCCTACAGAACTAGTGGAAAAGGAATTCTGGAGGCTGGTGAACAGCATTGAAGAGGATGTTACAGTTGAGTATGGGGCAGACATTCATTCCAAAGAATTTGGCAGTGGCTTTCCTGTCAGCAGTAGCAAAAGGAATCTATCCTCTGAGGAACAGGTACTATTATGGTTAATTCATTTTAATAATCTGACTGGAGAAGGTCATTTTAGTATGAGAAAAGACAGCCCTATCCTCCTGGTACTCACTTACAGTGTTGTTTCTACGTATTAGGGATAAAGGTGAGATTTGATGTCATTGGATGATCTGTCAGTGACCCTGAATTTTTTTTTTCACTTACTCTTACTTCTAAGTTATGTGCTACACCTTACATTCATACTTTTTTTTATACAGAATTTTGGATAGTCACTGTTATACTTTTTCCTCCCTGTGTTTCTGAAGATGATAGACACAACAACCACTATGATGCCTTGTTATCATTTAGAAGCCAGAGTTGTGGTTCATCTTTCCATAAATGTAAACACTAGCATTTTATCACTTTTAAGTGGTTGCATTGTGAAGAAACTCAAGTGCTAATAAACAGAGTTTATTCATACAGCTTGAAAGAATAAAAGAGACTCAGAACTCTCATTAAGTTTAGCAGTTTGTATATTTGATGTAGGACTGATAGAATAATACAGAAGCTACAGATTTCATCTTTTTAACACAAGGTAACTTCTTATATCAGTCAAAGTGACTCATATAAACGAACCAAAACTCACTGCTGTTAATTCTGTTCTGGCTTAATAGCAACTCTGTAGGAGTAAGCCACAAATCTTTATGGAATCAGGCTACCACATATTTTCCTATGGAGCAGTTGATGGATTTGAACTTCAGAATTCTTGCTTAGCCACCAAGCATGTTAGATTTCTTGAGTTCTGACTAATTCCATTAGAAATATGTTCTAGTTAGAAGGCCAGACTATTGGGGAAAGGAATAATCTTATTTGTGGAGAGGATGTAGTCTTCAAATACTATTATATATGAGGAATTACTCTTATTATAAGTGTTTTATTCTGTTGACCAGAGCAATAGAATTAGTTTTTGGCCTTTACAACATTGGCCTGTATTTACTGCTTTGATTTGATCTAGTTAGCAGGAATAGTTAATTGAGAAAGTGGAAACCTGTGTAACTGCAGTTTTCAGGAAGGCTCACCTGGTTTAAGTATAGATTATTTTGTGCATACAGAAACATACATAGATGCACACATTATATGTGCACATATCTATATATGTGTGTGTATGTATATATACACTTAGAGTAAAAGCTTGAGTCTTTTACAGATTATTATTTAAATATTATTAAAAATATATAAATATACATATATATTTTTAGGGTAAAACATTGGCCATTTTTAACATTTTTTAAAGTATAATTCATTGATACTAGTCACCATGTTACTTAACCATCATCATTGTACATAAAAATACGGTATACCTTAAGCAATAACTGTACCCTTTCCCCTCTTCAGCCCCAGATAACTAGTAAACTTCTTCCTCTATACATTTGCTTATTCCAAATTACATACACAAATGGGATTGTGTAGTATGCATCTTTTTTGGTCTGATTCATTTCTGTAAGCATAATGTTTTCATTGTGTATCCATGTCATATGTGTCAGAACTTTATTTCTTTTTATAGCTGAATAGTTTTCCATTGTATGTATATTCCACATTTTGTTTTTACATTCTTCTGTTAATAGACTTTTGAGTTGATTCCACTTACTAGCCATTGTGAGAACTGCTGCGGTGAACATTGTTGTACACATACCTTTTTGAGTCCCTGTTTTCAGGTCTCTTGGGTACATATCTAGGATTGGTTTTGCTGGGTCATATGGTAATTCTGTGTTTAACTTTCTGAGGAACCACAGAACTGTTTTCTACATAAGTAATACTATTTTGCATTCCCACCAGCTGTGTGTGAAGGTTTATGTTTGTTCATATCTACACCAGTGTAGTAGTTTCTTTTTTGTATTAATATTATCTTTCTGGCATTAATTAATATCAAACATAAGTAAAATTTTGCTGAAGATAATTCAGAAATAGTAGTAGTAGTATATCAACAGGGAGTGGCCAAAAAATTCTTGCTTAGCTTTGGAAGAACACGTGGAACAAGGATATATCATGGTCAGTATCGGATATTGCCCAAAAGCAGAAAACACTGGAATTGTGTTTACTCATGTCTTATTGACTCTGCAAAGGCATGCACCTGTGTGGATAATAACAAATTATGGGTAACCTAGTGGGATTTCCAAGAATGTTAATTGTTTTCATGTAGACACAATTAATAGACCAAAGGACAGTTTAAACAGAACAAAAGTATTCTGTGTTGTTCAAAATCAGGGAAGCTGTGCATGAGGCTTGTGTCTTTTACAGCATACTTACTGAATCTGTATATTGAGCCAAGAAGATGGACTAAAGGAAGAAGAACGTACATGAGGTTGAAGGAAGACTCATTAACAACATGCAATATGCAGGGGACACAGTCTTGCTTGCTGAAACCAAGAGGACTTAAACCACTTACAGATGAAGATAATTCAGTGTGGATTACACCTTAACAAAATATGAACAAAAGTCCTCACAGCTAGACTAGTAAGCAATATCAAGATAAACAGAAAACATTGAAGACATCAAGAATTTAATTTTACTTAGACACAGTTAAGCAGCAGTCAAGAAATAATATAATGTATTGCATTGTAGTATACTGAAGCAAAAGATCTCTTTAAAGTGTTAAAAAAAAAAAGCAGCTAAGGTGTGTCTTCAAGGCATAATATTTTCAACTGCCTCAAATACATTCAGAAGCTAGAAATTAAAGAAGAACAGAGAGAAAACCTTTGAATTATGGTATTGGCAAAGAATATTAAATAATCCATGGGATGCTAGAATAAGAAATTTGTCTTGAAAGAACTACAACCAGAGTACCCCTGTATAATAAGACTTGTCATGTATTTTGGACAATTGTTTTGTTTCTCTAGAGCTGGTCTAACAGAAAATACCACAAATAGATGACTTGAACAAATGGATTTATTCTCTTACAGTTAAGGAGGCTAGAAGTCCAAGGTCAAAGTGCCAGCTCTAGGAACTGGATGAAAGCCACTCAGCCTTGGGTTTAAGCACTGCCTCTTGCTTCTAGCCCAGTGGAGTTGGAGCCTTATCTTAGCTTTGGCAGCTGCTGGCTGCTAAGGCTGACAGACCCAAGGTCAGCAAATAAAATGGCAATCTTAAGAGACTGATCAACAGACAACATGGCGTGCTGCTGAATGAAGACTCAGCTACATGTGGGATCCAGATGTGCCAAAAATCTCTGAGGCCTTTCTTAGCGCCTCTACTTACATACCGGAAGCATACCATATCCATAAGGTAGCCACTCTGCAGCTCCAGTAGATTAAACCATGGAGCTGATTATCATTCTCATCATTTGGAATAACTATTTCAGCTGCTCAAAATCCTACTTACCCAAGTTGACACACAACTTAACTACTGAAGACTTGGTATCAGAAGCATCTAGTCCCCAGAAGAGGGTATCAAGCGTGGTAAAGTACAGGGTCAGCAAATAAGAGGAAGACCTTCAGTGACATTACTGCAATAATGGGCTCAAACATAAAACAAATTTTGAATATGGTGTAGGACTGGACAGTGTTTTGTACTGTATTATATGTAGGATTAGAACCAACTCAACAAAAGCTAACAACAATAGTGGGTATAAAGGTATTTCATTGTCGTTTTGATTTACATTTTCGTAATGAAATTGAGCAGCCTTTAGTGGCTTGTTGGCCATTTTGTTTGTTTGTTTGTAGCAATGTATTCTAATCCATTGCACATTTTCTTTTTTTTTTTTTTCTGAGCCAGTACATTATTTTCTTTTTTTTTTTTA